TTTTCGAAGCACAGCTTCGTTTGCTTTTGCAAAGGCAGCCCTGATTATTGTCTTTTCAGAGTGTTTTTCACCATGGATAGTGATTATGGCACAGTGTCACCAGCAATGCGTAATCGTTCCGTGGAATTATACTTGCTGCCTGAAGACCATGCATGGTTCAATGTTCCACAAGATACTATGGTACTCATTTCTTCGTTTTTCCAAACTCAGCGGTTATCATGCAGCCATAAGTCTTTTGAGGGTTTTTTTGAAAGCTCGTTTTTTGATTGTTTTGAATTTTCTCAAATTTTCTAGGACTCGACTGAATCTTTGTAAAGTGGCCGCTTGTTTCTGGCTTGATCAGTTGTATTTGTGTTTTTGTTAGCATTTACCCAGTGTGTATTGTGTAGCGTTTACCGAATTTTGTTGAGGTGTTGCCAAGGATGAACGATTCTTTCTTCTATCCGTCCCTCCTACTTCTTTCTCTGCCCTTAGCTCTACATAATTCATTGTGTAGACGCGGCAAATAATCACTTTTTTTTAATAGAACAATTAAAGCCGAAACAAAAGCACGGTGATTAGGTCAAGTTCTTGATCTGTTATTACCAGATTCAACACAGCCAGTTCAGCATTACACTTTCGGATGAGTTTTAACCATCTAACTTTTTTTAAGATTAAGTGGAAATTTTGTTGGAAAATGTAGCAATGGATGATAGAAAAGGTCAAAAAAGAGTAAAAAAAGGAGAAGATGTAAAAAAGAAGTAATAAATTAGGTAAGAAATGTTTCGGTCCCCATTAAGTCGTACACATTTCTTACCGTTACCACAGTTGGGCCTTGTCAGTATGACAACTGTGGTAACAATATATTTTTTAGTTAAGAATGAAAACTAATTGAGATGGAAAAGAAATAAATGATGGTAATAACGTTAAAATTGGGAATTGAAAGAGGTGAGATGAAAATAAGAATTGGGAAGTGTTGGAGAGATAGGGAAAAAGATAGTTTCTTCATCTTTGCTTGCCATTATCGGTGACATTTTTGGAGATATCTCGCAGTTCAGAGTCAAGCTGAGGAGCAACCTTTGAAGAAATTCATTTGCACTGATTTGGTGAAGGTGAAAAAGGGCCAGAGCTTTGTAGATTTGATCAGCCTATGACGATGGCTGTCTTTTGATATAAGCAGATACGAGATTGTGAAAAAATCAAAAAAAAGGGGATTTGAAAATTTTGTGTCATGTAATGCTGCCAGTTATTTGCATTTTCTTTTTTTGAAGAATATTCTTCTGGATTCACACGAAACAAATATCCTACGGATGAGCTGTGCAGCGACAGCAGCGTGCAAACAACTTTCATGCTGGCAACTGTTGAAGATGAAGGCGCTTCTTCGGGAAGTTGACCTCGAAACTGCTTTCAAGGTAGGCCATTTTACTGTGTTTTCATGAATGCGTGAAA